GTCCACCTAATTTTTTTTTTTTTTTTGGTAAACACAGGGTCTCACTATGTTGCCCAGGCTGGTCTTGAACTCCTGGCCTTGAGCTATCGTCCCCAACTCAGCTTCCCAAAGTGCTGGAATTACAGTTGTGAGCCACTATGCCAGGCCTCAAAATTTTGATTTTATCATTTAAAGGACAAGTGTAATATTTTTATAATAAAAAAGATATTAAGATGATATATTTCCCCATTTTAGACTATTATTCACCTAAATTAGTTTTTTGTGTGTGATCATACATTTTCAATCAGTAAATTAGACATAAATGATCAAGAAATTATGTCTTTTAATACAATAACATAGTTATAGAGTTGGAACTGAGTGAAATTTAGACCATCTAATCCAGTCCCTTTTTAAAATTTATTTTAACTCCAAGTTTAATGACTTGGCTAAGATCATAAGTTAATGAGTAGAGAATGGGATAGAATTCCTAATTTTATGTTGTTTTCTTCAAATATTTTATACTCGCAGTGTTTGTACTGCTGAAGAAAATATTTTTTATAGCAGGGCAGAAGAACTTGAGATATTCCGAGTTCCAATTGTAATATCCTCTAAGACCACTAGATGTCACCTTAGCACTATTATTACATATCACTGGTCCTCCACTAACGGGAAAGATGGAATGGAATCTTTAGAAGTTTTTGGGTCCTATGTAAGTGCTATATAAGTTAAATGGGGATGATGATAGTAGTATCTACTTCACAGAATTTCGAGGATTAAAAATGAGATACTCTAGGATTACACGAGACACCATAAGTAAAACATTTAGCACGATCTGGGCATACAGTAAGCAAGCCCTCAATGATTTCTCAGCTGTTACCACTTATTCATTACCAGGGCATTCCCATCACCTCTTCTGATGAAAGACAAGAGAAATGAAATCGTTTTACAGTAGACATAGGTCAAAATGATAAATTTTGCTGCAACAGAAGGTTAGTAAGCTATTGTTGTTATTGTTTATATGAACTATTGTTTATATGAACTTCTCAGCTTCTTAATAATCGGTGGCCAAGGTTGTGTCAAGATAAACCTAGATTGAATGATGGGGTTTTGGAGTCAGGAAGAAAATGTAAGAAAACCCCCAGGCTTTGGTGGCTGGTGGATCTCAGTGTGAATTGTTGAAAGGACCAATCAGACAAGGCTGAGAAGTGCTCAGGACAGTGCTTGGTGGGTCCTAGTTATGTCACCTTGAGCAAATAAGCTCTGTCTTCTTATTTGTAGGATGAGGTTAATATGCTCTTTTCAGACTTGTTTTGAGAAACAAATTCTGGGATTCTGGGAACAGGGTAAACATGGTCCCTTCCTCTTCCATTCCAGTTCTGAGTTTTTGCCTCTTCTGGGCCAAGTGACTTTCGGGACCCAAGACCCCTTGGTAGACGAGGGCTTGAGTACTGATCAGGGTACTCAGCTGGGTACTGAGAAGGGCTTTCAACTCACTAGGCTGGACAAGAACCTGGCCTAGGATCCCTAAGGGCAGTCGTATGTCCTGGGCTGAGCCTGAAGCTCAGTGATCTGTGCGTGTAAGTATGATGTTTAAAGAGCTGAGATAATGTATGGTAAATCCGGGAGCAGCCCTGGCTATGCAGACAGTCCTCAAAAAAGGAGGAAAATTATTACATACATTGACCAGGGTTGAGGAGAAAGAAGCCATTGCAAATTGTCTCAGAAAGAACTTTTCCTACCCTACATGTTCTGTTACTCCAGACTTACATTTTTTCCAAATTTGAGAACCATTTTTTCTGCATTTATGTGGTCCAGAAAATTAGGATGGGGCTTTCTTCTTCGATAATCCTCTTCAGTAAATGGAACTTCATTATCATCCTATAAGAGAGGAAAAAGTGCCAACGGGGTGCATTAGAGCTATGTAAAACTTCTAAGCCCAAAGATGTATTCCTTTAAGCTCAAATAAAGCTTAAAACTACTGCTTATCTTAACAGTATGTTACTTTTCTTAAAAATACTTTAGCGGGCCGGGCGCGGTGGCTCACGCCTGTAATGCTAGCATTCTGGGAGGCCGAGGCGGGGGGGATCGTTTGAGCTCAGGAGCTCAAGACCAGCCTGAGCAAGTTTGAGACTCCTTCCCTACTAAAAAAACAAAATAGAAAGAAATTAGCTGGACAACTAAAAAAAAAGAAACAAATATTTTAGCAAGCCAATTTTTATAATTTAAATTTAACCTAAACAAAATTAAAAGTTTAAATGGAGAGACTTTTACTTTGAGTCTCTCCTCCAAGAGATATTTGGATTCTCTCCTCCAAGAGATGGAGGCAAGTTGTCACTGTGATTCCATAAGGGTATTAAATAAACAATTTCTTGATAGTTCTTGCCATGTATGTAGTTTTATTTTTTTAATTTAAATTGTGTTCTTCTTTTCTCTTTTCCACACTGGCCCCTCCCCCGATCAATCACGTGAAGAAGAACATTCCATGTGTAAGTTGTTTTAAAAACTGGTTTCACCAGATAAGATGAAATATCAGTTGACCCTGGGAATCAGTGATGAAAAATATTTCTTGCCAGTCCACTGAGCTCTACTTCTTATTCACTCTCTCCATGGCTCAGCCTGACATGCAGCCCCATGGAGGGACGCATCTGAAACAATTCAATTAAGATTTATTGAAGAATCAAAGGGAAAATTTGACTCTTCCTACCTGGTTATTATGTGGGACAACCACAGCCTGTCAGTCCTTCTTGCTCTGGACTATTTGGCTGAATCAGGGTCACCTGGTGACCCCCGTTTACTCACATATGCAGGAACAAGTACATAGCAAGGGTTTAAAAATAGATAGATACTAAGGAAGAAAAAACCCATATGTATTAAGATTCTCCTACATACTGAAATTAATACAAATGAAAACATCCTACTATACTGATCCTTCTTTTGTGTCAAAGCTGATTCTTAATGCAGTTTTGTATCTGTCTGGGTGCTTTTGGCTACACGTATCAGAAAATCAAACTCAACATGACCTAAACACCAGGAGTTTCATCATCTCCCATAGTGACGTCCTCAGCAGGTGGCTCCGGGCACTGGGGGCTGGCCTGGCTCTGCTCTTCGGATGCCCTCTGGGCTCTGCCTCCCTCTGGGTGTGGCTTTCCTCTGCAAGACTGTAGCAAAACTGGCAGCAGCTCAAAGCTTCGTATCCAGATGTGACAATGTCCCCAGAGGGACTTGAAGTCTCGGGGATGAACTCTTCCTGGAAGTCTCCTGGCCAGCTTTCCTCTGCGCCAGAGACTGGACAAGCTTGTCTCCTGGCACACAGCTAGGCCCCATACCCCAGGCTCCCTTGCAGTCAGCGTGGCCACGGGACTGGGTTTCGGTTGAAGGAATTTGCGGAGGTGATGAGCACCTCTTCTAGGCCTGGTTCATAAAGTGTCCAATGTGTGATTGTTTGTGTTTCTCCCCCCTCCCCAGGCTTGATGCAGGGGCACACAATGGCTCTTGAGGGTGGTTGAGCCATCAGTGGAAGGAGCCTGGTCTCAAATTAGAGTTGGGACACTCACTCGATCATTAGGAACACCTGTTTTACATTTTACATGAGCAAGAAATAAACTTCCACCATGTTTAAGCCACTTCACATTTTGGGGGGTTTGCTACATTCTCACCTCCCAGAGTCGGGTTGTGTGCCCCCCCCTTAGCCAATCATTGGCAAGAAGAATGGGACGTCATGGCTGGTTTGGATCAATTAGGATTTTCCCCTGGAGCTGGAGACAGAGGCTTCCTTCCCTGGATCTCACGGGCAGTGTGGATACCTGAACAAATCAAGGCTCAGCTGTCAAGGAGCACAGTGGGGTGGCTGTTGGACAGGAAACCAGCAGCATCGACAACAATCTGGCATTCGCCTCTCTCTTCTGAGTTGCATTACGGAGTCACGGCTTTTCACAAACTCAACTGATCTCACGTAACCATATGTAACCAAGATGTATCCGAGCAGGAAAGAAATCGCATACCCAAAGTGGGTAATTTGAGGAAAGTTTAATAAAAAGATTATTTACACAAATGTGAGCACGGTGTAGAGAAACAGCATAGCCTGGAGCCAGTAACAGGGTGCTCTGTACCACTCGTAGGTCCGAGAACATTGAGGAAGCAGGCTACGATTAGAACCCAGAGGTAGAGACGGTGTCTGACAGAAGTGGCTTGTGTTGAGGGACCCAGCCTACCAGCAGCAGAAGGTAGTTGGTGGAATAAATACCCTGACCTCATGCTTCTTGATTCTCCCATCCTCTTGCCAGGGCTCCCATTGGCCAAACCCAGTGGGGAGCAGAGGACAAGGTTGCTTGCTGAGCCAGACTGCAAGGTTAGAGCAGGGTGGAGAATCCGGAGGGGCAGATGGAAAATCTCCAGCACACAGAATTGTTTCTGTGATGCTCAGCTTCTCCCAGCTTTGCTGTTGGGAAACCCTCTTTGTCCTTTCAGCACTGCCCATGCCATCTCTGAACATATCTTGGCTTTCTAGCATCAACAATATGTTTCAGGAAGGTGCAGTAGCTCATGCCTGTAATCCCAGCACTTCGGGAGGCCAAGGCGAGAGGATTGCTTGAGGTCAGGAGTTTGAGACCAGCTTGGGCAACACAGTGAGATCCTGTTTCTACAAAAAAATTTTTAAAAAATTAGCCAGGTGTGGTGGCACACTCCTGTAATCTTAGCACTCCGGGAGGCCGAGGCAGGAGGACTGGTTGAGCTCAGGAGATTGAGACCATCCTGAGCAAGAACAAGATCCCATCTCTACTAAAATTAGAAAAATTAGCTGGGCATGGTGGTGCGCACCTGTAGTACCAGCTACTCGGGAGGCTGAGGCAGGAGGATCGCTTGAGCCCAGGAGTTTGAGCTTTCAGTGAGCTATGACTGTGCCACTGCACTCCAGCCCAGGTAACAGAGTGAGACCCTATCGCTAAAAACAAACAAACAAAAACACGGTATGTTCCAGGCCTATCCAGATTTTTACTGACCCAAGACACATAATCAACTACCTCCCAAAGGGTCCTGGAGTTACTTTTACTGGAAAACAGTGTCAGAGACTAACATTTGTGTAACAGGGATGCCCAGAGGGCTGCTGTTGGACCATTTCTCACAGTGACAGAACTGAAGATATATCTTCCGCAAGGTCATCATTTTACAATGATTTTTTTCCAACTCATTAAGTTAATGACCCCTACTTAGAACTGGTCTCCTTGCTCTTAAGACTTCCTATGAGGATGGAAAGACAGAAGCAGAGAAGAGCAAAAAGGAAAGTGGGGAGGATTTACTGATTTACAGCTCCCAATCCCAATGCCCAGTGGCATCTCTGTCTGTGGATTTTGCCAACCACTGTTTATATCTTTACAGCAATTTCCTCTTTCTGATTAAGAAAACTGGATTCTGTTACTTGTAGCCAAAAGTCCTACCCAGCTCACTCTGACTTCAAATGGACGCCAGGGTCTTCCTCTGCCACACCCCCTTCAGTTACACTTTTGGGGAGAGACCTGTTTGTCTTGTGCAGCCAATCTTGGTATATCTACACCCCCACCTACTTCCTCATTCCTTTGGATTATTTAGAAGCAAATCTCAGACACGGTATCATTTATTACTTCATTAATTTAATTGAAGCTGAATTTCATCCATTTCTAAAATTATTAAGCAGTATTTTGTCTTCTTTGAGAAATCCTTCCCTATAAATTCTATAATTTTTATTAAAAAACTAAAGTTTTGCTTTTTAAATTCAGCTGTGCCTGAAGTCCTGCCCTAACAGATCTCTCAGTCCACGGGGGAAAGACAAACAAATAGATGGCATTTGGTATAACGAGTGCGGTAAGTCCCTAAATATTTCCTTGTTATACATAATAGATTCCATTGATCCTAACACGCGTGTTTTTTGTCACATTGAACATCTCTGAAATTAGACTGTGTCTTGTAATCAATGGCTTATTATTATTATGGTCTGCCAGGAAGCACTGACAATGTCATTGCTGGTGCACCAGCGACCTTGAACACACTGTTCGCATTGTTATCAATTCCAATTGAGTTAGGTACTGCTCTTGTTGATTAATTGCCTTTTAGAAATGTCTTTTAAAAGAGTATACTATGATTCAGCACTGAAGCGAAAAGGCATGAATCAGCACCAAGACATGGGAACAGAGTGGCAAATGTCAATCTGGTATTAGCAAAGAGAATGAGCAATGCTGGAAGAATGGCTACGGTCCATATTTTCTTGCAACATAACAACCATATGCTTTATAGGAAAGTATTTATTATAAAAAATGACATCAATCAGGTTTTACACTGAATTATTGTGTGAAAAAAGAAAAGATGTAGGTGTGATTCAGAGACAGACTGGATATGAAGTAGTTTTGGGAATATTATAACCACTATATTTTGCTTATATTTTCCTTTAATGTATGCACAAGAATGTAAGTGACAAAAATATAGGTCTAAATATGTCTAAAAGAGAGCTCTTTCAACATGTTTAAAATAAAACAGATAAGTAAGCATTGCTATAGTTTAATAGGCAGCATTATTTTTCTGTCTTAGTGACATATAAAACAATGGAATTCCTTAGAATTGAATGTGCTTAGAGTCCATAAACTCTGTTGAGTGCTTATTATGGGATTGGGCTCAGGAGTGTAAGATACACAACCCATTGTAGGAAGTTCCCTCTGCATACAGATTACAAGGTATTCAATATTAAATGTGAACTGTTACGTAAAGGAAAGCTAACACTCTACTTACGGGGTCCAGGGGTTTGGATCGCGCCCAAGTCATCACCGTGGATAGTAAAATAAACACCTTTCGTTTTTCGAAATGGACGATTTCCTCACTCAGTGCTGTGGGACCAAGAAGCAGAGCAGTTATTTGCATCCTTGCACAACTTGCTTTCGAAATCACTTATATCGTCAGTTACCAGTGGGGCCTGAAGTTGCCTCTTTTTCAAGGAGCAACTTAACACCAGGAAGGTGCTACCCATGATGCTTCTCCTGTTCCCACCACTGTTCTTCCAATTCTCCCTCCAGTTGCCCCATCCCTTCTGAGCTCAGCTCATAAGGTTGGCCTGTTTCCTGTTTCCTGGCCTGTAGCTGTGTGCTTTCCCTTTTTTGGAGGGCAGGTGGTAGTAATAATCATAGTTGATGTGAATTAGAACAACGCATGGGTTTTGCTGAATTTTCATAACTATGAGAGAGGCACTACAATTCTCTCTGTTTTACAGATGGGGGAACCAAGGCACCATTTGCCCAGAGATACAGAGCGCAGTGATGGGGCAAAGAGTCCAATCCAGGCCGCCTGGATACCGGGCCTGTGCACCCCCTGCCATGCCATCCGGCCAGCTGCACAGGGAGGGGAGCAGCTGCGGATGGGGACGACAGAGGCTCCAAATCTGAAGGTGAGGCCTCCTAAGGGTTCACATAAGGCAGCCCTGTTCAGCTAAAGCTGTTGTGGAAGGAAGTAATTTGCGGTGGGCAGGAAGGTGAGCATCTGATTTTCAAAGGGTTTTTCACTTTGCAGGAGGGCTACAAGATTCTCCTTGAATGCATTCGGCAAGTGATTTCATGAAAATATTATTCATAATGTATACTTGTCCAGAAAAAAAATCTAAGCTATAAAGTGAAGTCTAATTGAATTGTCAGAGGGTCTAAGTGGTGCAGTTGTCATGGTATGTTTTTAGGCTCATGAGGTGATTCCCTAAACAATAAGCAAAAATATGAAATGCTGATATCCTGGATCCAATAAATATATGGATTTCTCCCCTAAGATGAGAAAGTATTATTGAATTCAGTCTAAGAACACTATGATCACATATTAATCTCGACTTCAAATGTCAATTTTAGTTTCTATTTTTATTCTAATAACAGAAATTGTCTCTTCAATTTAATTTTGCTCTTTTAACCTCTCCCCTGTGCTGTGCTTCAGTGTGGCCTATTTTGTGAATACTTGGCACACTTTGAGGTCCTCTAATTGAGTTGTCCTTTTTTATTTATGGTATTTATAATGGATCTAAAACGATCTGCTCGTTCTAGTTTGAACACACCTTTTATCCATATATGCAAATATTTTCTCTCATTACTAATAATTTATTCCTTTTGCCTATGTCATCTTGCCTTCCTTCCATTCTATCTGAAAAAGGAAAATTAAGAGAATTCTACAATATTTTAAAATAATTTAATAAAACATGATTAAAATGCAATATATATCCATTGTAAGAAAAACAAGATCTAAGAATTGCATCAGGTAAAATGACGAAGTCCCTACCCCTATTCTTCACAGCCCTACCAACCCCGTGCCCCCAGGTGACTCTGATGGCAGAGAAGGGTCCCTGCCTATACTTTCTTGCAGACACAAACACCCTGTCTCAAAAAACAATGTGATTCAGTTGAAACCTTTCCTCCAAATAGAGAAGAAAAATTTCCTTAATTATTTAAAGCTCTTTGTTAGAATGAAGAAGGAAGCAGTAAGACACTGTCTACATTTTAAAACTCATGAAAGGAAATGCAATGTCATAGTTTGAGGAATGATCAAATTCCCTTGAGGGACCATGGGGGGGGGTCCTAAGAAAGGGCTGATGCACATCCGGTACAGCAGGAAGTCAGTGGTCAATGTCTGAAATTCACAATCAAGGGCACCCATGTAGGCATTTCTATGTATTAAATGAGGTTGCTTTTGGGAAGTAGGGATAGAGTAGAAAGGAAATGCAGGGAATTGTTGCTCTTTCCAAGAAGCATTCACATAGCCATTTTTTTTTTTCTTTAGAGACAGGGTCTCACTCTGTTGCCCAGGCTGGAATGCGGTTTGCTTGATCATAGCTCACTGTAGCCTTCAACTCCTGGGCTCAAATGAGCCTTCTGCCTCAGCCTCCTGAGTAGCTGGGATTACAGGAGCATGTTGCTGCACCTGGCCAACTTTTAAAACTTTTTTGTAGAGACAAGGTCTTGCTGTGTTGCCCAGGCTGATCTTGACCCCCTAACTTCAAGTGATCTTCCTACCTTAGCCTCCCAAAGCACTGGGATTACAGGCATGAGCCACCATGCCCAGACCACGTAGGTACTTTTATGTATTGGGGAATGAGGTTGCTTTGGAGAACCAGGGACAGGGTAGAAAGGAAATGCAGGAAATTATTCCTCTTTATTCTAAGCCCTACTGTGTTTTTTTCTTTTGCTTTTTTTCTTTTTTTTTTAAACTACTCCCCACCCCATCCCTACTGTGCTTTTTTAATTTTCAAAACATGTCCAGGTTTTATTCCAGAAAAAATTTCTTAAAAACTTAAAGAAAACTGCAAGTATACATTATAAGAAAAATCAATTTTCAAAGCTTGGCACAAAACAGTGCTCAGTAAACATTAGCTCTGATTATTATTGTAGGTGGTGCAATTATATATTATCTGTAAATATTTGCAAAGGGACAACATGCAGAAAGTAGGCTTTAAATAAGCTCTGTTCCAAAAGATGGCAGTCTCCATGTTTTTTGATTTGTTCCTTACTGACTGAAATTTAGGCACAAAGTTATAAATGAGAAATCAAACATTCTAAGCTCCTGAGGAATCCACACATCCACAGACACATCTGTGTTCCTGTCGCCATTTCTCTGAATATGGTACAATCATTCCTGAGGCTTCATTCCATTTCTTTGAATTTAAGCCAAAATATAGCTTTGCTGCTGATCTAAAGGTTGGTAAAGTACTGCCTGTTTTTGTAAATAAAGTTTTATTGGAACCCAGCCTATTCATTAACATGTTGTTTATGGCTGGTTTTTTCCCTGTAAAGCCAAAAATATTTATTATCCAGCCCTTTACAGAAAAAGTTTGCCAACCTCTGGTCTGATCCACCTAAAACAAAAATATTGAAGGCATTGAGGTATACTGTGCTATATGTCTTCTTTGCCTGTTCTGGCTTAAAATGGTTATTCAGATAAGCTGATTTGCTTTCCTCTTTGCTCCAGACTTAAGGAGGAAATAAGTCACGAAAGCACCAAATTGCTAAATACCACCTTGTTCTCTTAGACCTGAGGTCCTTAGAGTTCATCACATTTTTCAAAGCATTTTCTTTTTTTTTTGTACTCTTCCCACTTCCACAGTACAAAGCATTTTCAGAATGCAGGCATTCTCTGCAAGCCTTCCCTGACCTTTGCCGTCAGAGAACATTTGTTGAATTGAATTGAATCCTTCCAGTTAGAAATAATCCTTCCCCATGAAAGTCACATCACTCTTCCATGTACTTTGTGACGCTGCTCTCTGTGTTGCAGTAACGTTTCTCCTTTGAGGCTTAGGTTTCCTGTGTGAGTACAAGTGCCTTGAGGGTATAATCCTTTCCTTACTGATCTTTGTATCTCCCCAGCACATTTAACCCTACCTCCTTAAGAAGTGCCTGTGGAATGACTCAAGGTTGAGTAATTGAAAGTAAATGTTTCTTTTCTTTTTTTTTGATGATTAAAACTATTCTCTTCTTCAAAAGTACCTATCCACAAGCACATTCATTAGCATGGATTTCATAGTTTGGGTAAGTCTCAGACCAGTTCTTCCACAGCCCTAATTTGCCTACTGTTCATTAAATGACTCTTAAGCACAGTAAGCTGCACAAAAATATAGTCCCTGGAGATAAAAGAGTGCACCCCACTGACCAGAGACCGCCCACGTGGCTTCCTCTACTTGCTGCACGTTCTCAGTGATGTTGTAAATGATAACATCACACTCCAGCAGGCGCAGGAGAAGGTCTTCCCGAGAGATGGTCTGGAAGAGAAAAGTGACAGTCATTTGCAGCAGGAAGCTAACAAGGTAACCTTAACATATAGATGAAATGACAGTTTCCAAAATAGATACGCTGCATTGAAGAGTCCCACAGGAAACGGTTGTGGAAGGATTTCTATTTAAGATGAAATTTTGCTCTCTTCTGTGTATAGTTTACAAGTAACAAAGAAAGTTATGAAAATAGCCTGGAACAGGTGATTGGAAAAATTGCATATTGATCTTAGGTACTATTTAAACTCCAATGCCATTTAAACTCCAATTCAGAAGGGAAGAATTAGAACCCATTGGAAGAAAATGAGTGAAGCATTCAAAACTAACTCAAACTCTATGCAAGATTATTTGAGCAATTATATGTCATGAATCACTTAGAAGTGCTGACGAGTGATTAATTTGGATAGTTTCACAATCCTCAAGATAGAATTAATTTGTTCTCTTTCTCGATGTAAAGTAGCTTATTACAGTTGACTTGGGAATATTTTAAAAATACAGAAACTTTTAATGTTTAAAGATGTAAAGTTTTTACATCAGACAGAAGTAACTTTGGTGATCATTGTGTTTTAACCAGTTTTTCCTTGCTGCATGCATGCTAGCACGTTTCCCAACAGTACAATACCACGGGTGGGTGTTAAGATAAACATAAAAGGACCCTGGATTTGCAAACCAGGTTTGCATTTGTTGCTATTCCCATTGTCCCAAGCATCAGATATTCCTCCACAGTTTCTTGACCAGTTGCATCAAAGTAGAACCTTTCAGATCAAACTCGGTCTCTTACCACACAACTTGGTTGGAGAACAAAGGAAAGTGGATGCATTTCCTTATGAAAGGACAGGACTGCCCGGGTGAGGTTAACACATCCTTATTAAATCCAACAGCACACACTACTGCTGGCTTCTCCGGCCCTGTTCTCGAGGTCCCTTTGTATCCATCTGCATTAGTTTGCTAGGCCTATTGGAACACAGTACCACAAACTAAGTGGCTTAAACAGCAGGAGTCTCATAGTTCTGGAGGCTAAAAGTCCCAGGTCAAGGTGTTGCCTGGTTGTCTCATTCCAAGGGCTGTGAGGGAATCTGTCCCATGCCTCTCCCCTACTTCTGCTGGTCAGCTGGCAAACATTGCCATTCCTTGGCTTGCAGAGGCATCACCCTGATCTCTGCCTTGATGTTCACGTGGCATTCTCCCTGTGTGCTATGTCCAAATTTCCCCTTCTTATGAGGACATTGGTCCTACAGGATTATGGGCCCACCTTAACGACCTCCTTTTAACTTGATTTCCTCTGCAAGGACCCTGTCTCCAAATAAGCTCACATGCTGAGGTACTGGGGGTTAGGCAGTCAGCTTTTTTGTGTTGGGGGGACACAATGCAACCCATTCTCCAGCCATTCAGTTCCTTATCTGGTCTGAATATGGAAGAGGGAAGATGCTCTGAAAATGTTGATCAAATACAACATTTACTTTATCAATAGCATGACAATGTGAAAGGATACTACCTTCCCAGTACACCTGGGACTGATCCAGATTCAGGAATGACACATCAAAGAAAAGAAGAGAGAATACTGGAAGAATAGGAGGAATCAAAGATGTATGCTCTAGATGTGTCCAAGAGAAAGAAGATAAAGCATCTATGATTCCAGCTTGTAAAACCAGTCCACAGAAAATTATGCATACTTGTTAAATGATGGCTGGATCGATTTAGAACAGAACAACCACACTTTCAAGAGAATAGTGGTCCTGACCAGATATTGAGTGACCATGTTTGTGCATCCATTTGTTCACCCCACAGACATTTGTGGACCCTGCTTTTGATCCTAGTGATAGAGGCAAAATGAATAAATGGCTGCTAATACTAAGGAGAATCATGTGTGTGTGATTTGTTGAGAAAACTCTGAGCAAATAATTATAGTCTAATATAGACAAGTCCTTGTCTACATGTTTAGGTTTCGTACTAAGCACATATGAAACCTTTGTATAAATTAGAAAAAGGCAACTTTCTCTTGGTGAAAAGAATTATAAGAAGGCATATACTCAGGGGCACAGAGTGGACAGCAAAACAGGCTGCAGCTCTTACTCACCCTTATCCAGGCACCCTTGTACAGTGTGCAACCTGTACAGCTTGGCACGGCAGCCCTAAATGTGGAAAGGGCTATCATAGATTTCGTATGAGGTTCAGTGGACTAGGAAGAAGATGTGATTATGTCTCCTGGGAGTTGACATTTGAGTTGCGTTGGAAGGGTGAATATGAGCTCACCTGGCAGAGCCTGGGATGTTCAGGGAATAACAGGTGGTTTGCTGAGCCAGGTAGAGGCACCTTTCACAACCTGCACCAGCATGTTTTCCATCTTCAACTCTCCCTCACCTTTTCTGCCACCTTTGCATCTTTGCCTTGGCTCCTTAACCCATGCTCTTTCTAGTCCAAAGCACACCATACACTTTCCCAGGCATTCCCTTGTGTGGTGTTTCCTTTCTCCCTTATCTGTCTTGCAAGCTCTACTCGGCCCTGGAGGCCTAGTCTCAGCCCCACCATCTCCAGTAGGTCCCAGGCTCCCAAAGGAGGCCATCTGCAGACTTCAGACAGATCTAAAGATCAGAAGAGCTTAGGGGGCCTTGATCTGCTTGGCAGGGAGGAGTCTGAAGCTTCATTTGCTTGGCTGTATAGGTAAGACTGAGAATTCATCAACTGTCCCTTTCAGAGTGCTCTGGGAGCTGCTGTGTGCACACCTCTGTCACCATGTTTGCTGTACTGCTGCGGAGTCCCTGCCAGGCTGTGAGCTCCACGTTCATCTATGGACCCTTGGGGCGCTCAATACACATTTGCTGAACCAAATTCAGGTAAATAGTGAGAGGTGACGGAGATCTGACCGATGCAAATGGCTATGAGAATGGGAAGCAGGGGCTACTAGAGAGTGTCACAGCGATGGGTGGAGGATTCCATGACCACCAGGATGTAGAAGTCCAGGGCGAGGGAAGAGTCCATGGTGATTGGAGGTGTTCACTTTACTGGAGGGTGGTGCATGATGAATGTTATAAAGGACACTGTTGGTTGTCTACAAACATCCATTTCTTCTTCCTCTTTCCCAACAGAACCCCAATTTTGTTCAAATACTCCCCCCTTCTAAGCCTGTGGGAAATTAACTCCACCTTCTGGCTTAAGAAATGAGTCTTATTGATCAAAGTGTAAATGTTTGGTTCAGGAAAGAGCATATGACTCACTTCAGGACAGTGAGATTCAAGGAGATGCTTGCCAAGATCTGCTGGGAATATTTATCCTCCTTTTTCTGAGACCTCCTGGAAGTCTTCTTTGTCAGGGTGTTGCTGTGTATGAACGTAAGGCACTGGGTTGTTGCAGCCTTGCTGCCAGCCTGAAGATGAAGTCACCCACAGGAGAGAGCAGAGCCCAGGAAGGGGCAGGAAAAGGAGCTGGTGCCCCTGGATTATGTCAGCCCTGAAGCCCGATCCACCTCTGGGCCGCCGGCTACATAAGCTGATGAATTTCCTTATTGATTAAGCCAGCTTGCACTGCCTTTTTCCCCCTATTACTATTACTTGCAGCCCAAAACAGCCCCAACTGATAGAGATAGCAAGGTCCTTAGTGCAATCAGGAGTGCAAAGGGCAGAGTGGTTTTGTAGAGGAGTGTGATAAATAGGGCTTTAATATGTTGATTCAGCCGTGCCTGCAGGACAACCGGAGCAGTGGTCTAGCCCAGGCAGCTGGATTTGTGAGTCAGGCTGAAGAAAGACTTGAAAAGCACTGGCTCCTACGGGGAGGTGAAGCCGCAGGACTGGAGAAGATTTAGGAAACACACTTGTTATGAGAAAGGAGGGCGCTCCGGGGAAACTGTATTTAAAGGGTGGAAAGAGGAAAAGGAGCCAGTGAAAGAACCTGTAGGAAAGTCAGGGTGTAACAGCCGCCCAGGGAGGCGAGGAGAGTTTCTCTTGGGTACCAGGATGCTGCTGCTCGGAAGCCAGGTGGGATGAGCCCTTGGGAGGCAGGAGATCGCTGGTGACGCTGGCATTTCCCGTGAAGTGGTGGGGGCAGAACCTGCTGGCCTTAGACAGACCAGGGAATGGGGGGTGAAGGAGTGAGGCCTTCAAATGTGCCCAATCCCCTTCTGAAATTCACTGGTAGTGGGGGCCAGAGGCAGAGGAAGAGGCTGGTGGTCAACAGTGAGGCCAAATTAAGTGTTTTTTACAATAAGAAGTGATTTGAGCATATGTATAGGTGGAGAGGAAGAAGCCAGTGGTGAGCGAGAGAAAGGGGGTGAATGGTAAAGAAAGGTCCCAAAGATGTTGGGCGAGGACTCATTCACCCATTTCGCAAATGTTTCTCCAGGGCCACTTTGTGCCAGTGGTTGTGCCGAAAATACGTGGATAAACACAAGGATAAATGAGGCAGTCTCTACCCTCAAGGACCTGACCGTTACAGTTCATGGGACCCACAATAGACAGATGATAACAATGGAGTGTGAAAAGTGTTATAATCTAATGACGTACCCAGGTAGAGGATGCTATGGGAGCTCAGAGAAGAGCTCAGAATCCAAACCAGGAATGGGGAGAAGTAGGAATCGTGGATAGCTTCCTGGAGGAGGTGATCTCATGAGTTAAATCTTGAAAAATGAATAAGGCTGGTTGGGTGAAGAAAGAGGGAAGCCTGTTCCAGGTGATAGCATGTGCAAAGCTGCATGGTAGGGTCCAGAGAGTAGCAGGCAGGGTAAAGGGAGGAGTTAGCCTGGGAGAAGAGGGTACCTCTTCTCGGATGTTTAAATATCTGAGGATAAGGACTATGCAGAATTTGTCACCTAAAGGCAGCACTGCTTCTCAGTAATGGTGTATTATTCCTGATTGGCTTATTACCAAAGCCTATTTCTCTTCCACGGATGGTACGGACCATGGCACAGAGCTGTCTTCGATAATTGAGAGCAGAATGTACTTTACGCAGAGTATGGAGAAGAATTTTGTGAGTCTGAAAGTCCAAATCAGATCCATCCTGTCCAAGACTAATTTAAATTCTTTGCTTCAGCCAAAAATTTAAAGTGGAGACACCATGGCTAACCTCTATCCTAGGAGAAAGGCGCGCCCAGGCCTGGCACGAAGTGGCCCAGAGGGAATGAGAGGCAAAGAGGAACAACGTATGGGGGAAGGCTGGGGCGGAAGGTGATCTTCCCTACGTCTCTCCTAGCAAAGCCCACCGGTACTTACAGAGTAGGTCTCCACGGCAAAGTCGGGCCGCAGGCTTTCCGGCGTGGACAGCGTGCCCACGATCTGGAACGTGCCTTCCTTCAGTTTGGCCAAGGAGGCTTCCGGCATACCTGACTTAGTCTCATCCTCCTCTTCCTCTTCTTCTGTAATTTCTTCAAGGGAAGCCCCCGCGACACAGTTAGACAGAAACTGCAAGAAAACAGCCGGCCCGCGCCGGCAGGCGGGTTGGCGGCCCAGGAGGCACCGTAGGGGCGGGCTGGGGTCCGGGGAGGGATGGGGGGCTGGGGGCGCGTCCGCACAGACCCCAGATCCCGCTCTCGGCCCCAGATCTGGTGCCGACTCCAGACTCGACCCCAGACCCCGGCCCACTTCCCCCCAGACCCCAGACCTTGGCCCCCCTCCCCCCAGACCCCAGACCTGTGCCTGGCCCAGTGCCTGGCGTGGGCGCTCCGGCCCGCCGAGAACCCAGCCGACCCAGCCGACCCAGCCGACCCGTGTCCCTGTGGTTGTCCACATTGTAACAAAAAGGAGGTTCTAGACGTGTGGCATGTTACCTGGAGTAATTCCTGCCATGATTCTCTTTTTTCCTTCTCTATGTTTAAAACTGGCAATCACCGTGTTTTTGCCCTTTGAAATAAAAAGCCAGTGGCAACTATATAGTTAAAAAACATTTGCTTAAAAAAAAAAGAAACTGCAAGAAAACTGAAATTTCTCAACTACTAAGAACAATTCAGAGTAAGGGCAGCCAATCAATGATTCTAGAAACTAACCTTTATTGAGGGCTTGCTAGGTGCCACACAGACAAGACAAATGCTTTGCACGCTGTCACCTCCTTTAAGTCAGTTTAATTCCCATGACAACACAGTGAAGCGGGCACTGTGATGATTCCCCGTTTTGTAGACAAGGGGTTCAGTCTGGGAGAGCTTAAATAACTTGCTTAAGGATTCCACCCTGCTACAGGCAGAGCTGGGCTGTCATGAAGATGTTTCTCTTGTCCAGTAGAAAGACAGAAATGTAATATGAGCCACTTAGGAAATTTAAAATTTTCTGGTAGCCAGATTTAAAAAAGTGACAAGAAACTGATGAAATTAATATAAATACTGTGTTATTTAATCCAATATATCTGAAATATTATCGATTTAATATGTAATCATTATAAAAATATTAATGAGATATTTTACATTTTTTCATACTAAGTCTCTGAAATTCTATGTGCATTTTACACTGACAGCGCATCTTCATTTGGACTAGCCACGTGTAAATGTTCAGTGGCAACACGTGGCCAGTGGCTACCCTATTGAATAATGAAATAGAATGAAGTTGGCGAAGTTTTACAAAAGCTATCCTTGGGAGTGCTTATGTAATGTTTCAGAGTTTCATTCATATATGTAAATAATCATTTATATATGTTAATCACTTTATGTTAATTTATATATTAAACATATATAAATAATCATGGCATTCACACACCTTGGGAAGAAAAATACAGTAAAATCAAACATACAAAAAGTCCCACCTCATTTATTTTGATAAAAAACAGTACAAGTTAGCATGCCAGGTTGTCAGCTTTAACCACGTATTGTAATATATTTCTCCCAAGTACATTATGTATATTTTCATTTATCTCTCCAACACACATATTCAATTTTATCATCCCCTTTTACAGAAGCAGAAATTGGTGCCCAGCACTAAGGAGATGGGGCTGGGGTGGCATTGCCTAGCCAGGCTGTGAGCCTGAAAACAAGAGACACAGCTTCCATTTCTTCTATAGGCTTCATATTCCTGCTCCCAGGTTTCTTACAACAGACTCTACACTCGATCTTGGTCAAAAGGCCAAGCAGCAATACTAAGAACAGATTAACAGTAATTAACTGGAATTTGAGAGAGGCCTGATTAATTAAGGGCTAACCAGAAAATTCTGTTATTGAAAGAAAGCTTTTGAAAAAGATATCCCCTTACTAAAAGACAAAGTTTTATTATAAAAATATTATGTTGTAAAAAATAGAGATCAAAAGGGGATAAAGTAAAAAGTTAGACTCCCTTCCCCCTCCGGTTCCTAATCCCAATCATGTCACCTCTTTTATACAGTTCACCCTTGAACAACATGGGTTTGAACTGCGTAGGTCCAATTATTCCCAGATTTTCTTCTGTGTCTGCCACCCCTGAGACCCACCTCTCCTCTTCCTCCTTGTTCTCAACCTACTCAATGTGAAGATGATGAGGATGAAGACCTTTGTGATAATCCACTTCTACTTAATGAACAGAAAATATTTTTTCTTTTTTATGATTTTCTTTTCTTTTTCTTTTCTTTTTTTTTTTTTGGGAGAGTCTCACTTTGTTGCCCTGAGTAGAGGGCCCTGGCATTAGCCTAGCTCACAGAAACCTCAAACTGTTGGGCTCCAGTGATCCTCCTGCTTCAGCCTCTCAACTAGCTGGGACTACAGGTGTGCACCATGACACCTGGATAGTTTTTCTATTTTTAGTAGAGACGGGGTCTTGCTCTTGCTCAGGCTGGTCTCAAACTCCTGAGCTCAAGCGATCCTCCCACCTCGGCCTCCCAGAGTGCTGGGATTACAAGTGTGAGCCACCGCGCCCAGCCCTTTTATGATTTTCTTAATAACGTTTTCTTTTCTCTACTTTATTGTAAGAATAAAGTATATAATATATATAACACAAAATATATATTGGCTGTTTATGTTATTGGTAAGGCTTCTGGTCAACAGTAGGCTATTAGTAGTTAAGTTTTTGGGGAGTCGAAAAAGTTATATGCAGCCTATAGTCCCAGCTACTCAGGAGACTGAGGTGGGAGGATTACTTGAGCCCAGGAGTTTGAGACCAGCCTGGGCAACATAGACTATGTCTCTATGAATAAACAAACAAACAAATAAATAAATAAAGTTATCTGCATATTTTCAACTGTGAGGGAGGTCGGTGCCCTGTGTTGTTCAAGGGTCTACTGTATGCTCTAGTGGCTTTCCATTGAAATTAGAATATAAACCAAACTCCTGGCCAAGGCCACCCATGATCTGGCCCTCTGTGCTTGACCTTCTTTATTAATTTATGTAATAAATATCTATGGAGTGCCGACCATCTGTGTTTCCTGATTCGGCATTGAGTAAGGCTACATTCTGACTTTTATGGGCCCCTTCCTCCATAAAAAAATATTAAAAATTATATTTGATGACGAACATGCTGTAAAGACAAACATAATCTTTGACCTTAAGATTTTATTTGTTTCTTGGCCGGGCGCGGTGGCTCACGCCTGTAATCCTAGCTCTCTGGGAGGCCGAGGCAGGTGGATCGTTTGAGCTCAGGAGTTCAAAACCAGCCTGAGCAAGAGCGAGGCTCCGTCTCTACTAAAAATACAAAGAAATTAATCGGACAACTAAAAATACATAGAAAAAATTAGCCGGGCATGGTGGCACATGCCTGTAGTCCCAGCTACTAGGGAGGCTGAGGCAGGAGGATCGCTCGAGCCCAGGAGTTTGACGTTGCTGTGAGCTAGGATGACGCCACGGCACTCTAGCCTGGGCAACACAGTGAGACTCTGTCACAAAAAAAAAAAGATTTTATTTGTTTCCTTCTGATTTTAAAAGAAATTAAAACACTTTTCTGGGTTCCTAAGGATCTTGTGGGCCCTGGGCATGGTGTCTGATGTGCCTAACGAAGAAGTCTGCTCTGGGGTCCGGGCGCACTGCACCCTAGCCACTGTGCGCTCAAGAGCCGCCAACCTCATTCCCACTTTGGAACTTTTGCCTTTGCTGTGCCCGCTAAGAACTATTTCCTACAGTTTGATCCCCATCCTGGGTACGTCAGGTTAAATGTAACCTTCCAAGGGAGCCCTTTGTAGGGTATATCTCTAGGTAGGGAAAAAATGAAAACAAGAGAGCAACTCCATTTAAAGTAGCTGCTCTCTCGCTGGTCATCATCTCATCCTCTCTTTCCTTCAGAATACTTACCGCACACTGAAACATCTTGCTTATTTAAAAAATTTATTTATTGTCTGTCTCCTTCTAGGAGAGGCAGGGGCCTTGAGGGCAACAAGCTTTTTCTGTCTTATTCACACATAGTTCTCTGTGCCTAGCGTTTAGTAGGTGCTCAGGAGTGAATGAATCCCATCATTAGAGGTAGTAACAGCTAACAGTGTCTTGTGTATCTTCCGAGACATTTTCTGTGTGTGGATGATCTATCATCTCTCTATCTTCTCTATATCTGCATCTTTTTGAAAAACACAAATAAGATTATACTACACTTGTTTGTAATGCATTTTTTTAAATGTTAAGCTCCCCAGGTAATTCTGCAGTATTTTTTTTTTTTAAATTTTAAGCTCTAATGCCTTTCTTTTAAAAAATTTTGTTATAGTATTGTTTTAGTTTTGTTTGTGTCCTTGCCCCTTCTTTCCTACCTTTTCTGGTAATTTGGAAGATGTATCATGTGTTTGGAGTCCTTTCCAGTAGATATATATTATATTTAATATACATCTCACATATATTGCTTATCATATATAATTACATACTATGTAAAAATATACTGTTTTTATATATAAATTTTATACTTAAATCTCTGTTTTTCAATTGACGCACTGTAGATGGTGTATTGGTTTGAATAGTGTCCCCCCCAAATTCCTGTCCTCGTAGAACCTGTGAATGTGGGCTTACTTGAAAATCGTCTTTGCAGATGTAATCAAGTTAAGATGAAGTCATACTGGATTAGGGTGGCCCCTAACCCAATGAGTAGTGTCCCTATAAGAAGAAGGAAATTTGGGTACAGGGACACACAGGGGAGAACACCATGTAAAGAAGGTAGCAGAGGTTTGAATGATGGGTCTACCAGCCAAGGGATGCCAAGGATGGTTGGCAACCACCAGAGGCTAGGAGAGAAGTATGGACCAGATAGTCCCCTGGAGGCTCTAGCCTCTAGTAGGAACGAACCCTGCGTTTTGATTTTGGACTTCTGCCTTCAAGAACTATGAAAGAATATATTCTGTTGTTTTAAGACAGCCAGTTTGTGGTATTCTGTAACCACAGCCCTAGGAAATGAATACAGATGGTATGTCCTGTAGCTTCATCCTATTTTAAGCAGCTTTATGTTTGGAAGTGTAATCATTAGCCTCACAGAGTCTGATCAGGGTGAGGTTAGATTTCTGTGTAGCTCCAGAGGATAGAATTAAGACGGATGGGTCCTACCTAGGGGAGATGATACATTTTCCAGAGCTGAAGATGGAGAAAGGTAAGGAAGCTTAATGGGACTCAGGGCCACAAACAGTGGCTGGTAAATAACAGATGCTAAAAAGCCATGTATTGGAGGGATGGGCGATATAAAGATTGGATTTATTGTCTCGTCTGTTGCCTCCTTCAGGTGCGGTGGTGGAGTGGAAAGGGAACCCAGTTTGGAGGCTGGAGACCTGGGATCCATGTCCAGGTCCTGCCCTCAACGCTCTATGATCTGGGGCAAGTCCCTTCCTCCCTCTGAGCCTCAGTTTCCCTTCATTAAAAGGAGGAGGAACAGGCTGGACCTGAGATCTCCAAACACCTGGGCTCCTAAGTGGTAGCACTTTAGCGGCCTGGGGTCCAGGGGGCATTGGCGGTGCCCAGGACGCGGGACGGGGCCCGGGAGCTGAGGGCCGGGGTCCGGCTCTGCGCCGCCGCCGCTCACCTTCCCGATGTTTCTGCTGCTGTAGGAGTCCAGCAGGTTTATAAACACTCGCTGGATGCGGATAACCTTCTCCGTCCGGGCAGCGGCGTCCTCTTCTTCACCCATGGCGGGAGCCGCTCTGGTTGCTAAGGGGAAAGCGTCCCCTCGGTTGCCAAGGAGGCGGGGCCGGCGACCCTGGCGGGCGGGGCTCGGCCGCGGGCGGGGCGTGCGGGCCGCGGTTCCCGGGATGGGCGCGAGGGCGTCCCCGCGTGAGTGCTCCTCCCCGCCGCGCCCTGCTACGGCTGCCAGCCCCCGGCAGAGCGCGTCCCCTCGGGAGCCGCCTCGGGCCTCTGGCACAGGGGCCACCTGATCTCTCTTCCGTCTGGAAACGCATCCCGGCGTGCGCTTGCCCCGGATGGCTAAAACCGATGGTGAATCCGATGAAAGGGGAAAGCCCCACAGCCCCGGCCTCCTCTGAAATGCGGGGGCACTTAACGTTCTCCTAGCGCGTGGTCTGACGGGGTGACATGAGCCTCCACTGCAAAGAAAAGCTGTTGCCATGGCGTTTCGGGGTCCACGACACCCGAGCGACAGCGAGCGTGGTCCCTGCTGTGCAGCCAATTGCTCCTGGTCCAGGGGGCTCCCGTCCTGGGGGCTGTTTCCATCAGTTCCGGAAAGACCTCCGGGGGTGGAGTGGGCGCCTAGAGGCCTTCTGTAGAGTCACGCACGTTCACAAAGGGATGCAATTTAGACTTTTGACCTTTTCAAATGAGAGTATACAAGCAGTTGCTGAGATATACCCACAAATTAGAAGATAACATTCACCTTGTTTTTTCACAGGACCACAAAAGTTGTGGTGGACTATGAACATACTGCAGTTATCTTGGAACAGCCTGATTATATTGAAATATTTTTGTGCTTTAAACATTAACTTGTTAAAAGTTAATATTTAATACATGCAGCAATTTTTTTTGTGTGTGTGTTCTTAAAAAAAAAAACAAAACACAAACTAGTTGCCTTAAAAAGTGGAGGTGGCCCAGACAGCCTGGAAGCTCTGGGCTGTCAGGCACTCAGGGGATCTGGCTTTGAGTCTCAGCTCTGTAGCCATTTGCGGGAGATTGGGACCAATCTTTTCACTTTCCGCAAGCTGTTAAATTGGCTGTAAAACAGGAGTGATATTACTAGCCTGACAGGGCTGTTAGGTTTAAATAAGACATATATGAAACTATTTTCTGAAGTCGTCTCCAAAGGCGAAATTATTATTATTATTATTTTCTTCTGCAAGGCTAAGACACTTCTACAAACAGGGAGTCTTTTCATTCCATTTTTCTTGTCCCCACCCCCTTTTCTTCTTTATACACGTCTCATTAAAACTTGTTTTGATAAACTAATTAACACTTTGAAATTTTGCCAACTCAGTTTGGCAACAGTTGGCCCATAGCAAAATTCTTTTTTTATTATCAACCAGAAAGTGCTGTCAGTTTAAATGTAAAAATATTCATGCAAGACCAGTGTAAAATCTGAAGTAAATAGACCTTAGGATTCTTTCAAATGACTTGTTAGTTCTAATATTCTAAAAAATTGCTTGAATCCTTATTTTCAAATTTTTAGTTTTTCTCTGCATTCCCTATTGATATGCAATTAAGCAGGTAAATACTTTGAAAGTTATTCCACTAGTCATGCTACAATAAAATACTGTAATTTCCCCGTGTTTCATTCTTGTTTATACTACTGATTACGTGTAAATGAGCTTGCTCCACAGTTGCAGGGCCTATGGCTTCCAGATATACATTTTTTTATATATATTGGTAGGTTAGGAGAGTCTGTTAATTCTTTTATACCAACTAACTTATCTTTCCTTTGTTATTCCTTCTTTCTCTTAAAATCAGCTTTCATATAACCACAAAGTTCATGTGATGGCTTCTATTAACATATACTGTATGGGGATAGCTGGCAGAATCAGACTTGGGTTCTGACCCAATTCTCCTGCTCCTGGGTAGGCTGCTGAGCAGGTCTCTCAATCTACCCCAGTCTTGGCTATGTCACCCATAAAATAAAAGAATTGAAGGGTAAGTTCTAAAGGCAATGTAGTATATATCAAAATCTCAGTGCTTTCCTATTCCGAGCCCCTTTAGCAAACAGCACATTTTGTTTTCGAACACTGGAGAGAGAATTGCAGTGTGCAATGGAAGAAACTAATGGTAAATACAGCACGAGCAGCTGATTTGCTGTGTGACAAGTGTGATTGATTCTGGACCTGGAGGAAAAGTGAGAAGAGTGTCATTATGGGAAATGAGGTGTGCACTCTTCTCTCCTTATCATCATACTGCTTCTTCAAGGATCTTGGGAGCAGATAAAATTCAGCAAGGCTTGGTGCTTTTGCTAGAGAAACATTCTTCAGCTAGCTTAAATCCTGTTGTATCTATTGCATTTCTCCCTTCTAATCAGTATATACAAGATATTGTAGGAAATGTGAAAAAGCATAATGAAAATGAAAATTACGAACCCTAACCCTAAAACCCTAACCCCCCCAAAAAATGAAAATTACCTTACCACCCACCGATGACTACTATTAAAATCTTATTTCAATTTTACTTGTTACATGCTTATTTTTCAAAATATAGCATGTATAGTTTTATATTCTGCTTTTTTCATGTAGCCTAATATTTCTTGGTTTTTAATGGTTGCATACTTTTCCATCAAAAAGATGTAAAAAGATGAACTCTTTAAAGCCTTCCCAATTTTTCATCAGAGAAAATGAACATCCTTGTACTTTACCTTTTGCTGAATCATTCCCCAATGCTAGACTGCCAGTTCAGGAGTTATCAACTTTGTAAAGGCTCTATTACCAATGCTTCCAGAAACACTTCACCAATATATCCTCCAAAAGAATGTAAGAATGCCCCCTCACTAAATCCTTACTGATATTATATTTAAATAAGAGAAATAACAAAATTATTAGGTGAACTGGTCTGATTATTTTTAATTTTCCTGCCTTGAATTACTGGTTAGGTTGAACATATTTCAAGTGGCAACAGACATCTGTATTTTTTTCCTGAGTTGTTTGATCATATTATTTGACCATTGTTCTCATCTTTTTTCTTACTAATTTGTAAGAGTTTTTCTTTTTCTTTCCCCCCCACCCCCTTTTTTCCTTTAGAAGTGAAGCCAGGCTTAATTTATCTGGTAAAGTTCTTTAAACAGTCTAGGAAAAATGGAGGTTTTCATATCTATTTTTTCCAGTATATCTGTATAGTTTTACTAATGTCCTCTCTTCCTGTTCCTCTTTCATAGTAATAAAAAGAGTAACTTACTTCAAATAAAAATGTAACAACGCAGGACTAAAAAATAGAAACAGAAGCTCTTGGAATCAATCATTTATCACAAAATGAACAATTTCAACTTTTAAACATACAATCACTTTTCTCCATACTTAACTCAAAATGAGTAAACAGAATTTTATTCAAACTTTACAAATATCATTTACATTTAGCCTGAGATTAAGCATGAGAAAGTTCAACCTGAAGTTGGACTTCATTGCCCAGTTTAAGCATCTGAAGATAAAGCTGAGTATGAATAGACATTATCAAACATAATTAAAGCATTCCAATGAACTTTAACAATGAATTGTGATGCAAACTGAAATTTAACTTATTCTGGTCCACATGATCTTCAGAGTCTAAAAGTACCTATTTTTTTAATAATGATAAAAAAATCTGCAGATGACAAATTTATGAAGGTGTGTCCAGATGCAGAAGCTTAGTTCAACATTGTTACAGCAGCTGCTTTAGGTGACCTTTAAAAAAACTCCTCAATCCTTATTTTTCAACATGTACTTGAAAACATGCAGCAGCATGGTACGGTTTATTAAGTTTACAAATATCAGTACTTATAATAAAATATAAAATACAGAGTATCCTTTTTTCAAATATTAAGTCTCTGAATGCTTCATTCATCCTTTGGTTTCAAACCCATACAATGCACTCATATTACATTGCAGATTTAGCATTGAGACAAAACACTGTACATCTATTGGGGAAGGTGGGGTGTCGTGGGAATACCAAAGCACTACAGTAAACGTTGAAGCAAAAATACTTTCTGAATATATACTGTACATTATGTAAACAGACATTCAGAATAAGAATCAACACAGGCCAAAATATTGTCTTCTAGGAAACCAGAATCTTCTTTTAAATCACACACTGACAATGTTTTTTTGTTAAGAAAAGAAATGGAGACTGCTCCTGTATTTGCTTATGTGCTTAGATATCTTGGAAACGAGTAACTATTACATTCATTTGCTCGTGGTTCGACTCCTGCTTAGTTGGCTGGCTGCTGCAAACATGGAATACAGAACTATTTCAGCCCCTGTTTTTCATTTGATACTAGTTAAGTCATATATATTAGTAATTAATTCATCTTTATCAATCCCTAATAGTAATATAAATAAAGTGAAGCAGTGAATTTCAAAATTTGTGCAGGGGAAACTAGTTGATAATTTGTTTCCGATAAGGCCAGTAGCAAAATAATTACTACAAAGTCAGTCCAAGCTAGTAGTGAACCCCTGATTTAGCAGGCTGAATCAAAGTTTATAGTTAGGTAATTCTAATTCCTATACTACTGTGCAAATCTAGAATTTCTTATGTAAAAGAGAGTGCTGGCAGCATCAAAGCCCTGTAATAAGAAAATGAAATACTGATTAGGGTTTGAAATGCAGAGATAGTATATGAAGAAATGTGAATGTCTTAATGATGGTATCATAGCAATGGCCTCAGAATTCCTTTAGTGAATCAGAAACCAAGCCAATTCATTATTCAATTATCATCTGAGTCAAAAGCCTAAATTTGAAGCAAGTGATAAAGACACAAAACCAAAGATGCACTTTCTATGACCATATGCAAGAATTTCAAGCTTTATGTCAACATTCTGTACCAGCACCAGTCCCCTCTAAAAAAAAAAAGAGCTTAGTCATGACTGTCCATCCCTTTTCAAAGCTTCCAGTCTTTGAAGGAGTGCGTTTCCAAATGCTTCCCGGTACGCAGGGCTGAGTGTATCCAACAAGGAGTAGACTGTTTCGTGGTAGGGAGTCTGTAAATGGTCATCCACCTGGTCAAAAGCATAACCTA